TCAAATACTGAGGAGTAAATGAAAGGTGTATAAGACTCCCACATAGAAGCCTATAAAATCCTATTAAGAGAACTTCTAAAAGATTTCAATAAATGGAGGAATATACAATATCCACAGATTGAAATATTCAGTCTGTTAAAGGTGTCAATTCTCCATTAATTGATCTATAAATTTAATGCAATTCCACTGAAAATTTAGCAGGTTTTTTAAAAATAGAAGTTATTAAACTGATTATAAAATTTATATGGAAATGCAAAAGCACAAGTATAGCCAAGGCAATCATGAAGAACTAAGTTGGACGACATGCTGTACTGGATATAAAAACTTACTATCAATTTAAAGTAATTACGATAGCGTGGAATTGGTATAAAGATAGATAAAAAGACCAATGGATCAGAATAGAGAATCTAGAATAGACTCACACATATATGGATGCTTCACTTATGATAAAGATGCCACTGCAGTGCAGTGTGGGAAAAGATGGTCGTTTCAATAAATGGTGTGGAGCCAATTGGCCATCCATACAAAAAAAAAAATTAGATCTGACTCCTAGCTTATATCATGCACAAAAAATCAGATTATCTTCTTGATTTGGGGGTAAGTAAAGATTTCTTAAAAGGATACAAGAAGCACTAATCACAAAGAAAAAATTGACAACTTAGAGTACATACCATGAAGAAGTTCTGGTCATCAAAATCTCATAATGAGAGTAAAGAGAAGGGGAATGTGAAGAAGTGACCAGAGGGTCTGAGTCCACAGGAGTGGCCAATGCCCCACACCAATCAGGACCCTCATGTTGGGGGTCTTCTTGCGAACACCGAACTTCAAGGCTGGTTGCTTCAAGGAGGTGGCTCATTTTCTTCCTTCATCCCGTGGGTGTTGTTACTGCCACTGAGATGGTAGCAGAGGAAGGAGCTCGAAGGTATATTTATAGCCTTGAAGGTGTGGATGGGGAAGGAGAAGGTGGCCACTCTAGGCTCGGGAGCTAGGAGCTCACAGAATCACTAACTGTGAAGAGCCTGTCTCTTCTAGAGGAGAAAGACACTGTGATCTGTGAACTTTTTTCTATTTATAAAAATTATCCTAGGGAAGAGAAAAGAGATTTTGGGGTCCATTTGAACTACCTCAAATATTCAATGCTTGCCTCAGTCTAAAGTTGACCATACAGTTGGGAAATAGACCTTGGAGGTCACTCTAGCAAGAGGCTTCTAGTCTATCTTCAAGGGCATGAAGCTTCATTGTTTTAGCTTTCATATTTAGATCCACAGTCCACTTGGAACTGATTTTTGTGTATGGTGTGAGGTAGAGGTCAAGTTTAATTTTTTCATGTGAATATCCACTTGACCCAATGGCATTTATTGAAAAGACCATCCTTTCTCCACTGCACAGCAGTTTCCATTTTTCTGGGAGATTTTTCTTTTTTGGAAGAAGCTAAAGGCCCCACCAATATGGGTGGGGGTGGGGGAAAAAGGAAGTTTTGCAGAATAGTCAGCAGCAGGGCTGGTCAAAGCTGCTGTCTGGCTTCCCTTGAATCAGAGAGGCCTGTCCAGAATGGGTCCTGTCTGCGCCAAATGCAGCCCAAGAGGCTGTCCGATCCCCAGGGAAGGATGTAGAACACAGCAGTCAGGTTCTGCTGGGAAACATATGTAGGGAGAAAGCAGAGGACTTCCTGGAGATGCTCTCTCTCTCTCTGAAGGGCAAGCAACCAAAGGTCTGACCCCTATCCCACCCCCACCTCCATTGGCCCTGTGGAAAAAAAGCCCAGGTTTGGGCTGATGCTGAGAAAGTTCTGTTTGTCACCTGGCATCTTGGTACCTCAACTAGAAACAGCCTGGGGGGAGTTTCTGTCACCTAGTCCTAGGAGAGGTGGGACCTGTAGATAAAGGAAAATTCATGCCTAGTCTAAACTTACTTCAATTAGGAAAAACCAGCCTCCTTTTCCACAGGCTGTCTGCCAGGGACCACCTCCAGGGCAGACAGAGTTGTGCCCCACCCACATCCCTTCATCTTTACCTTTTCAGTGTGTACCTGTCTGACTCCATTTGCCAGCACCTGCCTCTCTTTGCCTGAGAGCTTTCTCTAGCTTCTGAGGCCTGTTTTACCACCCAGGGGGCCAACTGGTAGTGCCAGGAAGGTAGTGCTCCCCTCCCACTGCTCCAGAAGCCCTCAACCCCTGACTGATGGAAGTTAGTGTATAAATACGCTAGCTCCCTGAGGGAAATCTCTGAGGCATGTATTTAATATGGTTCCCCAGAGTTCCCCAGTGGATTGAGCTCCAGCAAACCCACAGTAGTAACTTGCTCAATAACACACTCTATTGGGCTTCCTTCCCTTCCCTGCTTCCCTTCCTTCCTCCCTCATTGGTACTTCCTGAGATTGCCTCCCAAATAAACCATCTGACCTCACATCCTTGTCTCAGGCTCTGCTCCTGGGAGGAATCCATACTAAGACAACCTTCTTTCCAGGTGAATGATGCCACCCTGACCAACATGAACATAGGCATTGGGGCCAAGATTAGGATTTGAATCACTGGTCTGGGATGTCCAGCACCTATAGGGGTCAATCCCCATGAACCAATCAATTCTGCCTTGTGTACAAGGCCTCAAGACTGTCGCTAAACTAAGACCTGGTTATCTAATAGGATTTATTGGGCACTGGGGTCTCCATACAGGTTTATGTAAGATCAAGACTGAGCTTCTGCCACTTGGCTTAATGCCATCCTCAGACTCAAGATTGCTGGAGCTACTGCGAATGGAGCAGACTAAAGAATGCGGGAAGTCCAGGGAGGTGTTCTGTCTATGAGGCCCAGAAGATGCCCTTGTTGCTTTGTTGGAGGTGCTGCAGACCCAGACACAGGCTCAGGCTTGCTTGCAGGCTCATGTTGTACTGACCCATGACTGCTTTATTGGCTACAAAAAGGTCTGGTGTGATATTTACCAGATTTGGTTAATAGTTTTCATCTCAAGTGACAGCTCTAATCAGGGGCTGTTTTGAAAAGGATTCTGTGATCCTGGGGGTTCTGAGGCATGGCAGAGGCTATTGGTGCCTTGCTCATATCTCCTCAACTCACTGTTCTGGAATTTGCTTTCAACATTGTACAACAAAAGCCTAACTGGTGGCTTTTGCTCTGCAGCTGGGAGGGGCAGGCCAGAAGTGCCAGAGGGTTAATCCCTTGGGAGCAGCCCTCAGGCAATGACAGGTGAGGGCTGGAGGATCAATATCCCAGATCCTTTGTCCCTTGAGTGGGTAAACTCTGAGGTGTGTTCTATATTGTTTCCCAGATTTCTCTAGCAGGGAATTTGTCCCAGGTTCTGCTTCTGGAGGAACCAAAACTAAGACATGTGGGAAAGAACACTGTATTAGTCATCCCAGACTGCCATAATAAAATACCATAGCCTGGGTGGGTTAAACAACAGAAATTTATTTTCTCACAGTTCTGGAAACTAGAAGTCTTGGGTCAAGGTGCCAGCTGATTTGATTTGGTTCCTGGTGAGGACTCTCTTCCTGGCTTGTAGATGGCCACCTTCTCATTGTGTCCTCATATGGTGGAGAGCTCTGGAGTCTCTTCCTCTTCATATAGGACACCAGTTCTATCAGATTAGGGCCCCACGCCTATGACCTTTCTAACCTTAATCACCTCCTTAAAGGTCCTATCTCCAAATACAGTCATATGGGGAGAAGAGGTTAGGGCTTCAGTCTACGAATTTTGGGAGGACACAATTCAGTCCATAGCAAACTTCATAATTGATTAGTTCTGCCTGCTGTGGATGAGGGAGCGGGCAGTGTTGACTCACATGATGACTGGAGCACAGTGTTGTAAGATCTCTGAGGACAGATATCACATCTCATTTATATCAACCACAGCACCTGACCCATCCCAGGAACCAGAGTGTGATCACCGTCCAGTTACCATCTGTGTCCAGTACAGATTAGGGTTCTGTGGGTGCCCGGCCTGGGAGGGCCCTGGGCAGTGGGAACTGCTCAGAGCCTGAATGCAGCAGGGTGTGGGCTGGCAGGCTTTGGGGCCCTGCAACACAGGCTGGAAGCAGGAACTGAGGGGGGAGGCCAGGTGAGCACTGAGAATAGGGTAGGATGACCAAAGGCTACCCTTGTCATGGGTTCCAGATGAGATGAATCCCAGGTATTGGCCAAGAACACAAGAGAAGGAAGTGGAGGCCTCTGACGGAGAGGACCAGCACATTTGCCTTGGCAAGTGTATTTGTCCAGAGGGCTGCAGGGCGTGGGCACATGGGTCAGGAAAGGACAGGATTTCCAGAGGCCAGAGCCAAGGAGTGCTGCCAGGAGGAGAGAGAGGAAGGCCTGTGGCCTGGGGCTGGACACTGGGCTCCCTGGACAGTAGGTCAAAAAAATGGCTTCCAGGGTCAGACGGCTAGACCTTTGGGGTCTAGGGGACATGTCTCAGGGGGATGACTGGGACTCATTGGGAGAGGGGAAGGCAATAAATGAGCCTGGGAGTCTTTCCTCTTTACTACCCCTCCTCCCAAACTCTGAGACAGGAGAGGCAGAAGGTACCTAGGCCCGGGGAGGAGAGTGGGGGTGACTCAAAATAGGCAATCCTGTGAGCCAAAGGCTGCCTCACGCAGCCCAGGTGAGGCCCTGCGGCCTCCAGTCAGGATGGAGCTCAGTTCTGAGCCTCTGTACATCTGGATAGTGTTTGGTGTGCTCTGTTCTGGTTCCCAGCAATGTCCTTCTGACAACCCCCACCCTGGTCCTGGCCAAATAGCTGGGAGACTGAGTCCTCAGTGGCCAGATTGTGCTCTCAGCCAGAGCTCTTGGGGCTGAGCCTGCATCCTGGGTCCTCAGGCCTACCAGCCTGCTGTCACCCCCACCACAGTACCCAAGAGCAGACACGGGGCAGGGGACACTTGCTCAGTTGAACTCTGGGGGCTGTTCGAAAAGGCTAGGGTGCAAGAAGACTGCCCAGGGGCATAGTTAGAGGGGCCCCATGAGAGCTGCAGAACTGCTGAGAAAAGCAGACCCACGCCAAGAAAGCAGACAAGAGAGGCTGGGTGGCCACCTGCATCTGTGTTTATTGTTCTGTTTTCTCCAACCTCAGCAGAGTGGAGTGTGAGGTCAGGGGCAGCTGAATCCATTCCATGGTTCTATGGGGCCAGCCAGAGTCATGTGTGGGTGGGAGCCAGAGTCCATGAGACATCCATTATGGGGAAGACCCAAAATTCAGGGGCCTGGCACCCCCTCTTCTGCACCCTCCATGTCCAAAGCCCCCACTGGAACTCATGATGTGGCAAGTGTGAGTGTGCAGGTCTCAAAAGGAGTGGGGCAGCCACGGGGTCAAGCGGCCGTTGGAAGCTCCATGGGAGCCTGGGCAGGCCTCCTGAGGCTGCTGGGCACCACCCCTTGCCCTGGAGATGAGTTGGGATACAGGGCTGGTTGAGATGGGCCAGATGCAAGCAGGACCTTCCCGGGCCGCCTCTCCCTGAGCTGTCCTCTCCCACAGTCCCCATCCCGTGCTCCCGTCACCCAATGCCCTTGGTCTGCACAAGGTGCTTCTCCTCCAGAGGAACCGACCTAGCGAGTGAGGCCCGGCATCGCAGCACCTCCCCAGGATGCTCTCGTGCCAAGAGCATCAGCACAGTGCTGGGCTTCCGACCAGCCCCAAGAAAGGGAGGTGAGAGAAGCCTGTGGGACTTGGGGGCCTTGAGCACGGGGAGGAAGGCCTCTCCTCGTTCAGGCCCATGGGTTGAGGTCTGCTTGCAGCGCTGGCCCTGCATCTGTCTGTGCTGCCATCCAGGGTGTGGGTGTGAATCCTGGAGGGACCTCCAGTCTGGTCTCAGCAGGGGCAACACCTGCAGACCTAGTGGGTGGAGGGAAAGAAGAAGATCTTGGAGGAAGGCTGGCTGCAAGGGGACAGGAAGCCACTTCTCTCCACTTGTTCACCTTGGGCCATCGGGGTGGGCTATGTGGCCTGGACCTGGAGAGGAAGACTTGGACCCCAGCTCCCTGTCCCTGCTAAGGTCTTTTGGAGAGAGAGCCCACCCAGGGCCAGGGGAGGAGGCAGACCCAGCCAGAGACCTACCGCAATTAGGAGTATGCCAGGCTCTGAAGCCCCCGTGCTGGAGAGTGGAACTTGTCAGAATCCTCAAAAGGCTGGTCTGCGGTAACCAAGGAGAGAAGCCATAAGCCACGTGTAGCCTGGGGACCTTATCTGCCTATCCGTCTCTGGGCTGGGGACAGCATGCAGGGCATATAGCACTTTCTGAGGGCAGAGTGATCAAGAGCCTTGAAGGTAGTCAACCACCCCTCGCCCTGGCCTGGGGCCAGCACTGCAGAGAGTTAGGTGAGGCGTGCCCCTCAGACCTCTTAGGAGGCGCAGCCCCAAGCCCTTGCTCCCCTAGCTTCCTCCATTGAGAGAGATGACTCTGGGCTCCTCTTCCCAGCCCCGCCTCCTTCAGAGGGCCTGTCTCAAGGTGAGAAAGCAGATGGCCAAGTACCAGGACAGGAAAGGAAAGAGGTCAGCCTCCAGGAGTACCGAGAGAAAAATACAGTAGCAGCCTGTCTTCCTCCCACATCTCCACAGAAGTCATCACTTCCACCACCCCTGGCCCCTGCCTGACCCCCTCCCAAGGTTTGCTGGTAGGAGAAATCAGCAGCCCTCTGTCCTCCCCACCCCTCACATTTTAAGCTCCAGACATCTTAAGTTAAGAAAAATTATCCAAAATTTGGAAACAAGGCAAAAAGTGACTGTCTGTCCTTTCAAATCATCCAAGAGCATTATCTAACAAGCCCACCCTAAGGGTCATCTTACTCTAGGGGATGTGACTTTTTTTGACTTGCTATACACTACTGGTTGGGGCCTGGCTTTGTTAAGTTAGATGTTGACTTGGGGGAGATTGATAAATGGCAAATGAGTGTGGGTATGGGAGGGGCGACTTCCCTCTCTGTACAGAATTCCCTAGCTGTAAAATGGGGGAGGGAAAGCTGGGCTAAGCGGTATCTAAGGTTAGTCCTCTTCCATCAGCAAGTGAGCAAGTCTCTCACAACGGTGTGTGCTACCCTCCAGTGGACACAGGGAGGCACAGGTCAAAGGCAGGCAGCCCACGTTGGGGGGGTTCCTCCAGCTCCGAGTGTTGGGTCTTTGCTCTGGGCTCAGCTGGATGGGGGTGGGGGCTTAGGGTAGTTTCCAGATCTTCTTCAACTGGGATTTGAGTCTCCTTCTCCTTGGCCAAGGGCCCAGTTAATAGCATCCAGAGTGGTGACCACTCCAAGCTGTGAGGTCCAGGGAATTAGGGTCCAGATGGATCTCCTTGGACCCTGCAGAGCTCTCTCCTTTGCACTTTCCAGGGAGAACTGGTCAACCGGCATGAGGCTCTGGTGAGATGTGGCCGGAGTGGGCACCTCAAGGCCGGCTGCTCCACCAGGCCCCAGTGGGGCAGCATGGATCACTCACCTGGAAGCCCCTCTCCATGAGCTCTGGGGCAGGCCTGAGGTGGAGAGCTGGGCGGGCGCAGCACGGGGGCAAAGGCGCTCCTCTGTTTGACAGCGGAGATCATGTTGACAGGCGAGAAGGAGAAGACGCTGGTGGTGGGGGCAGTGGCCGGGAGGGACATGGAGGAGGCAGCGGCCAGCGGGGGACTAGAGGGCATGACTCCGGGGCGGGGCGGGGAGGGGCAGGTGCAGCAGGGAAGGCAGTGGGAGACACAACAGGGAGACAGCACCAGAGTGAGCAGCTGGGTCAGGGCCCTGGTCTGGGCAGTGGGCCCCATGGGGCTGCTGACCCAGGCACCAGGCTCAGACCTCACTGCGGGCTGTGAGGGTTTTGGGGAGACCAGCACAAGGTAGGGTCTGGAGGCAAGCTGGGAGCCTCTGGGGTCTTGGGCCAGTACTTGCATTTTTGGGGGTTTTGGAGACCCTTTCTCAGGGCTGGAGGTGACAGGATCAGACTAGGTAAAAATGAAAGCAAAACTAGAACATCCAACAAAACCAAATACTGGGAGGTGTCCCCATAGATGAGGGATTAGTGAGAGAAGGAACAAGTTAGGTTTCCTGCTGAAAACCGCTGGGATTCTGAGATGCTAACAAACATTTACCGGTCCTGGGGTACCACAGTTAGAGTCAAAGATCAGAGTTCATAGCAGAGCTGGGGCAAGTGGTCGGAGATGAAGTTTAGGTCCTTCACACAGGCTCCTGTTATAAGGCTTCTCTGTCCAGAATCACAGTTCACGCGATGAGCACCATAACTTCCTCCACAAATATGACCCCCTTACCAATTACCCCCCACCCCGGGCACTCTGTTCTCTGCCAGCTTAATGCAGGTCCTTGCTGTCTCCAGCCAGGGTCCTGGAGCCCTCCTGCATCTCTCTCTTCCAGCTTGTCAATTTTAAAGAAAGGTGTAGGTACCTACATCCTCAGATCTTCCTGTTCTTCAACCCCCTAGCCATCTAGGGCTGTGGCTGCTCTCCTGGGAATAGCCCGGGAGCCTCCTGCACATGGGCTTTGCCTGCTCCTCTTTCCTGCAGCCTCCTCTCCTGGGGGCTCCTGCCCAGGGCATCTCTGGATCCCCCTTTCTACATCCTCATCTGAACCCCATTCCCTGCCTCTTTCTTCTGAAGACCAATAAGTCTGTGATTTGAATGTTGTCTAAGCAGTTGGCAATGGGGTGGGGTTGGGGACCTCCTGGAAGAAACCAATAGCCCGAGAAGACTGCCTTTGCTATCAGAGCCGCCCCTGCCCTCCCCCTCCCATACAATGATGCCTTCAACAGCTGTCCCTGTTCCAAATGTTCTCAGCCTCATGGATCGCCATCTCCTTTAAGACAATGCTCACAGCTAGCTGATGAGGTCCATGAAGCTCCATGGAGGGCTTGAGACTAATGCCAGAAAATGTACTCTATCTCTTAAGGCCTGGGGCTCGCAGACACATGTTGTAGCTTGGGCAGTACTGGGAGCTGCAGGTCAGTCCAGGGCTGCTGGCAGCCAAAGCAGAAGACTAAGGGGAGGCCCAAACAAACAACCCCAGACCCCCCGTCTGGAACAGTTCTGGGGGTCATTCCAGCCATGTCCTGGCAGACTCAATGAGAATGAGACCCCCTGGAGCTGTGCCACAAAGCACGTGCACACGGGGAATGGATGGGGATCTGGGTAAGCACTGGTTAAGACAATATCAGGAGGTGGGACGGACCCTCGGGTGAGTCCAGGGTGTCCCCAGCTGATGTGGGGCTTAAGCAGCTCTAGAATTCTCAATCCTCTGACTGCATGGGGAAACCTCAGCTGGGCTGGCTTCTGTCCACTGGGGTAGTGTGCTCCTCCACTGACAGCACTGTGTGTGGTGGGGAGGGGCTGGTATTCCAGCCCCAACCAGTTTCAAATCCGAGGGGCACCCAGAGAGAGGTTGTAAGAGTACTTTTCCAGAACTGAAGGGAAGTGGGAGCAGTGGAGCCTGGCCTGAGCAAAGGGCCAGGAGAGATCGGGTCTTGGCAGGGACACGAGAGGGTCATGACCTGTGTGGACACTGGCATATGAGGCTTCGAGTCCTAGAAGTGGATCACAGGCCACGAGGAGAGAGCCAGTCTCATGCCCACAGCCAGAAAGAACAGTACTCAGGAAGGCTAGGCATGGGCCAGATATTTTGATCCTCAGCAATAGCAGACATAAGACAGGGCACAGGCAAGGGAATCAAGGAAAAGCCACAACCAGCTTCTCTTGGGCAGCCTTCCTCATTCCTCTGGCTCAGCAGTGTCTCCCAGGACTCGAGGTACAACCTTTCTTCCAATTGATAGGGAGGCTCCCTGCAGGCAAGCCGGGGTGGAGTTAACCCCAAGCCTGATGCTTGGCACACAGTAGGTGCTTTATAAATGTCTGCTGAATAGCTAAGCTATAAGGAGCTGTAAACAGGCTGTTCTGGAATTTGGTATTGGAAGGAGGGACTTGAGGGCAGCGCAAAACGCTAAAAGCATAAAAGCTCTGTGCCCATCCACCCAGCTCTGAGCTGCCCACCTCAAGAAGCCAGAGGATGGTTAGTGCCTACAGTCAGTGCTGAGACTGGGAAGTCATACACTCTTTCTGAATTGTGCCTGGGCTCTTTATGCACAGCGGAACACTCAGATCTGAGAACAACCTTAGGCAGGGGTGATACTGATCGCATTTTACAGAGAGGAAACTGAAGTTCAAAGAAGTAAAGCAACTTGCTGAATGTCAGACAGCTCCTGATTTGGACACCCAAACTGTGAACCCAGCTGTCTGAGCACACAAAATTCGCTAGCTTCAGCCAGCCAGATCGCTGGGGGCCACATCTTCCCTCCTGCGACCCCTGCCTCGCCGACCAAGGCTCCTGCAGGGCCTGGAGCCAGGTGGAAGCTCACTTTTCTCGAGCCCTGAGTTCCCTCAGGCTTCCGGCAGGGGGCACCAGCCTCCTCGAGAAGTCCTGGCATAAGATGGAAAGGCGGCGGTCCGCCAGGCTTCAGCCGGACGTCCGCTCATTAAAGCCCGTTTCAGGGGGAGGGGAGTACTAGAAGCGATGTGTACCACTGGAGTCAGCAAAGAGAGCTAAAGGGGCAAGAACTGCTCCGGCCCCAAGGCCCCGGGATGTGCAGCTGGGGTGGGGTTGAGGCGCAGGTGCCCAACGCAGGGAGAGGTCACAGGCAGAGAAGGCTGATCTGGCTCCCGAGGGCAAGGCCAGGGTTGACCCTGAAGGGACAGCGCCTCCCCCAAGAGCTGAGAGGGGGCAGGGCTGAGCCCCAGTCTGCTCCCCGGGGCCCCGGTCCCACCCTCCGTGCGCGGGCAGGGGACACTCACTGGCAAAGGGTGAGGTGGCCGTGGAGCCATTGAGGAAACTAGGGGACCCGGGCACGCCGAGGCCGGCCACGCCTGGTGCCCCGTAGCCGCCGAGGCCAGCTCCGAGGCCGCTGCCGTAGCTGCTCTGCTGCGAGCCGGGGCTGGGCGCGAACCCGCGGGGGGACGCGCTGCTGCAGCTGCGCGCATAGCCTGCGAGAGAGCGGCGGTCAGGGGCGCAGCGCCGGCGGGGAAGGGGCCGTCTGGGCGCCGGGGACCGCAGGGAGGGGGCGGCGGGACGCACCCGACTCCGGCCCCGGCGTGGCGTCCCCGACGGCGATGGCCAGTGGGCTGCTGAAGGCGTTGATGCCCATGACGGCGGGGTGCGGGTGGCTTGGGGTCAGGGGTCCGAGCGGCGCGGGCGCGCGGGGGGCGCTGTACAGAGCCTCGGCCACGTCCGCCGCGCGCTTCAGGAGGAGCTCCTGCGAAGACAAGAGCAGGGCACGGCCGAGGCAGCCGCAGGCGCCGGGAGGGGGACAGCCCCGGGCCTGGCGGCGCCAGGAGGCGGGCGGAAGCGCCATACCTGGTTACTGCTGGGCACTCCGTACAGAGCTTCGGCTAAGTCGGCCGCCCGCTTCAACAGCACTTCCTGGGGGCAGGGGAGGAGACAGCGGGACGGAGGGGCAGCCCCCGGGGGCGGCGGAGGGGCAGGGAGCATCCTCCTCCCCGCCCCCTCGGCCACACAACACCCTCATCCCCGCCCCGCCGTGCCCCTCTGAGTACCTTGGGCAGCCGCTCAGGATCTCCGGGGTGTCTGGGAATGACTTTCTGTAGTCTCTGGAATCCATAGTCAATGGTGGGCTCATTCAGGGCTGGGGAGAGGGGCTGCGTTGGGAGGAGCCCCCTCCCAGCGCCAGGCGCCCAGGGCAAGCCCGCAAGCAACCAGCACAGGGGCCTCGCTGCAGATCCCTTCCACCAAGCCCAGCCCAAACCTCTCGGAAAACTCCGGGCACACGGGTCAGCGAGCTTTGGGAAGTTTCCTCAGTTCCTTTCTTTGCTCATTCATTTACTGAGCCAAGCCCTGTGTCAGGAGCTTGGCGTTAACACACATGCATTATAGGATCCCACTTGTGATTAGGAAAAAAGGAAACTGTATGTACATATTAGCGTCTATATTCCTAGGGGCAGGACTGGAGGGAGAGTTTTCTGTCTGCATTTGGTCTTATCAGGAGCAAATTATTTATTGTAAAAAAGAAAAAACTCAACAGTCTCCATTTATCACAGCTCAGGTGGACCTTCAGCAGCATCTGACCACTGGAGGTTTGTGTGTTTCCTCAAGGAAGGGACTGGCCCACACCCAAGCCTCTCGGGAGGACTTGGCAGCCTCCTGACCAGGCCCCCCAGAAGCCCTCCTGCCCCTCTCCTCCTCTTCCTGCTCCAGCAGCCTGGCCCCATCGACCTAACTCATCAGCCTCAAAGCCTTACCTATCTTCTCCAACTCCCAGTGTGTAGAGAAGTTTCTTTATTCCGAGTCTTTGCACTTGGATTCCTTCTCCCGGAACACCTTTCCTTCCCCATCTCTATCTCCCTATTCATCCCTCTGACCCACCTTAGCCCAGTTTAGCCCACATGCCCTCCTGGAGGTTTTCTCTGACAGCCAGCCTCTCCACCTGTAACTCCACCCACCCCACCCTGTTCACTGCTCAGCTTCCCCCCTTTAGACTGGAATTCCCTGACAGTAAATAGGGTCATTAGTGAGTGTCCAGCGCCCCCCCGAAGGGCTCAGTAAATATTTGTTGGGCGGGCTGGGGTTGGGGAGAAGTGAGTGGCTTGGGCTGGGGCAAGGCGGAGGGCGGAGGTGGAGAGAGTCCTCGCCAATGGCCAAATAGAGCCAGGATGGGGGATTCTTATGCCGCATCTTCAGAGAATGCCTTTCACTCATGTCTTGTGTTAACTTCTCGCCCCGGCTTCGTGCAAGGGGTGTGCGCCTGTATGTTCGTGTGCATGCAGAGTGAGCCTGGGTGGCTTAGGGGAACCCAGAGGCCCAGGGAAGATTTGGGGAGCAGCGAGCCTATTTGGGGGCATCTTTGAAATAAACATCCCCATGGAGATATTCTAGACCCTGGGGAATGAGGGGGATAGGGAGGACGCCCTGGCGAGAAGGCCCAAGAATGAGAGAGCCGTCCGGGCAGGGAGGGAAACGCAGAAGAAAACAGGGAAAGAAGGTTCCGCGAGAGGAGAGGAGTCGTCACAGGGTATAGGCTTCGGGATAGGGGGGAGCAGCTGCTTAGGGGGCGTGGCCACAAGGTAGATACTCGCTAACTCAGAGCCTGGGCTCCTGCGCAGTGGGGCTACTTCCTCCAACCCAACTCCTTACCTGTGTAGACAAAGCGGCCCGGGGCTCCTTTGCAAAATTGCTTGGACTTGTAGGAGAGGGTCACCTCTACCACCCCGGGAATGTGCCGCGGGGGCGTCTGCACCCGTATGGCGTGGGGCGTGATGAGCTGTGAGGGGAGAGGGGAGGCCTGCTGTTCCCACCCGGCGAGCGGAGGGCCCAGCCGTGACGGGAGGGCCCAGCCGCGAGGCCCGGGGGGAGACTGGCGGGGGTGGCCCACCTCGCTCCACACAAGCACGTTCCCAAACACGACCTGCAACCCGTCGAAGAAGTTGTCGCCGATGACAATGACGGTGGCGCCGCCTGTGGTCCAGCCCTCCCCGGGGCTGATGGCCTTAATGCAGGGGGTGGCAGCTGGGAGGCAGGAGAGGAGCCAGGTCAGTGGCCCGCGCCAAGGTGGGGACCGGGGGCTGGCTGGGCCCGCGCCAAGGTGGGGCTGGGCCGGGCGTCCTGACCTTCGGAGGGGTCCAGGCGGCGCGCCCTGCGGCCGTGCTTGGAGTTGTTGTGCACAAACATGTTGTCTGACACGGCCAGCACGTGTCCGTCCACGCTCACCGTCGTGGACACCACCACCTGCGGGGAGAGCCGAGGCCAGCCTGGCTGGGGCCCTCGGGGGCTCCCGAGAGGGGACTGATGTGGGGCACCAGCAACTTGAGGCCGGTGGCTGCATGCTGGAATTCAGGGTCACTGGCACAGGAAGAGCTTCAGCCCCTCAGGGACTGAGCTGGTGGAAGGGGGTCAGCTGGATCAGGTGACACCCACAGATGCACAATCTCCCGCTCCGCAGGGGAACTGACCCCCAGGAGCTAGAAAAATCAAGAATCCTGGAAAAAACTCTGGCTCCTTGGGCAAAGAGTGGCTACTGTTTTTGTACACACAGTATCCCTGGGACTCCAAGGCAGGAATTGGTCTTAGGTAAGCAGGATTGAGAGTTTTGATGTGGGGGCAGCATTAGCCTGGGAACCCATCAGTGGGAGCCCCCACCCTTGGGAGGAAATTGGGGCTGCCTCCCCCCCACCCCCCCACTCTTCACTGGGAGGGGTACAGGTTGGGGATGTGCTAAGGGCAGCTGCTCTCTGCTTCACGCTATGCAAATTAGCTGGGTCGTTAATCATGTAAAAATGTCACAATTAGCATCTCCTTAAGTGGGACTCTAATGAAGCCTCCCCTGGCAGCCAGCATAAGTTGAGATGGAGCTGCCCCACCCCCAGCAGGCACCAGGCCCTGAAGCAGAGGGCCAGGCAGAGATCTGCCCTGGGCCTTTACCAGGGTGGGGGGCGACAGTCTCCCCCTCCCCCCACTATCAGGAAAGGGTGGGTTTGCAGGGGGGAACCCTCTCCCCAGACCCACCTGGAAGCGGCGCATGTCCCGGGGATTCCCCGCATTCTTTAGGCAGTTCTGGTTGCATTTGAGGAAGAACTTGAGGAAGAACCTGAAACAGTGTGGTCGGTGGGCTCAAGGGTCTGGGGATTCTGGAAACAGATGAAGATCCAACTGCTTCCTGCCATGCCCCCTCCTAGCAGGGTGTCTCCCCTCTGCCTGCTCACACACAGGCTCACACCCCATATTCCCATCACGAGATGCATACACACTGGGTGTCTGATATACACTGAGTAGACCAGTCCTAGTGACTACTTCACTACACAGATATGCCCCCATGGTGTACAGATCACACAGTGCTTATTTGTCCCACAAAGTATATACTCATCACATCCACACAACTGTACTCATCATAAAGAGTATGTCCATTATACGTACTGTGTATACCTATTACTCATGAGTTATGCCCATCACACAATGTATACTCCATATGTAGCAGGAACTCACACTTACCTGTAAACATCCCACACCCTGCATATTTGTCATAGTATATGCCCATCACACATAGTGCATTCATATCCCATAGCATATCCCTCCCTCAGAGTTTACCCATCACCCCCACAATGCATACTTGTCATAAACAGTATATCCATTATATACACTGCATATGCCTTATATTCTGTTATTCACAAAATATAGCCATAACACACAGTGTGTACCCACTACACTCAGGGCATAGCCTTCACAGGAGCATATACAGTATGTGCTCCACACACAGCCTGTACTCATCACATACATGGCACACTACTCACACACAGAGTCTGTGTCCCTCACGTGCAGTGTGTGCCTATCCTACATAATATATGCACTGAAAGAATATGGAACACACAGAGTATATATATGAATACACCATTTTATATTGTCTATGATCACCCACAATATGGTCATCGCAAATACTGTATAGTCATCACATAAAGCAAGGATATCCCCCCCAACAAACCCCCCTTGCACACAGCAGATCCCCCTCGCACGCAGCAGATCTCGCTCACACATAGCAGATGCCCTGGCCCAGCACATCCCCCCCGAAACAGATCTCCACACATTTTGTATCCATTACACACAGAGCACAAACCTAATCATACAGAGTGGATACCCCTCATAGACACACGTAGACACACATCTGACAGGTGTACCTGTCAGACACGCTGTACAGATACACAGGGAAGACCTTCCTTTTCACATACAGGAATTAGGAAAAAGCAGTATATGCAGTGATGAGACTGCTGTTTAGACAGACGCGTGAGCACTTGGTCCTCCAGTCCTTCTAGGCAGTTGGCTGGGATGGTGGACCTCGGTCCTGCCATGCACCAGTGAGGTAACCCTGGACAATGCTCTAGTTTTATTTTTTTATTATTTTTATTTTTATTTTTTGAGGAAGATTGGCTCTGAGCTATCTGTTGCCAATCTTCCTACTTTTCTCCTTTCTTTTTTCTCCCCAAAGCCCCACTAGATAGTTGTATGTCATAGTTGCACATCCTTCTAGTTGCTCCATGTGGGACGTCGCCTCAGCATGCTTGATGAGCGGCGGGTAGGTCCATGCGCATGATCTGAATCAGCGAACCCTGGGCCCTTGGAAGTGGAGCTCGAGAACTTAACTGCTATGCCACCAGGCCGGCCCCGATGCTCTAGTTTTATACTCTTAGTAAACTCAGGATACTATCAATATCTGTCTTAGCCCCTACAGGACTCTATGAGCATCTGGGGAGATGCCCTTTACAAACTGTAGTGTGCAGAGCTAAAGTCTGCAAGGGTCCGGGCATGTGGCACAGCCTTCTAGGCCACTCTATGAGCTCCTCTGGTCAGCTTCCTCATTTTACCACTCCCCTCTGGTTTAGAACCCCAAATTTGAACATCTATTTAGCTCATTAGAGTTGCCTTCCAAGTCTATAAACATGAAATTCACATTCATAGGAAGATTTGTTACAGGCTCTGAAAGCTAGTCCCCAAAGAGGAGGTCTCCAAGTGTTGGGACACCTGGAACAGAAGAGTCCGAGGGGGGAAGTCCCTCGTTGGGTGCTGCCACCAGTCACTTTCCTGGAGATGCACCTCCCCATGGGCCCTGCCTCTGTCCCTGTGCTGACCCTTCAGCATCTGTCATATTCCCCCACACAACAGGTGCCCCTCTGGGAACCCCCTTTAGTTTCTTTTCCATAGAGACATTACATCAGCACGCATTTCCATCCACAGAGGACACTCCCCCCAAAATACTTTCCTGTAGTGTAGACCTTCTGTACACCCCTGCGGAGCACTCTGAGGTGCAGACATTTTGTATGACCTCAAACAGTACACAGCCACCATGTACACACTCCATACACCCCTATAGGACACCCTGCAGTGCAGGCAGCTTATATGTCCCAAACGGTAGTCACCACAGTAGAGATGCCCTATATACCCCTATAGGTCACCTCAAGGTGTAGACACTGCAAATGCTCCCAAACAGTACACCTGCACAGTGTAGACACTCCATTCATCTTGCATTATATGCCAGTATGACTTATAAGATACAATAAGACATGGGTTAAGACACCTATGGTGTAGACACCCCTATGCCCACAATAGTCACCTCATGCACGTCCCACATTTATATGACATAGAGTATAGACACCCTAATCACACACGGTGCAGACAAGTTCATTTAAATTCCATATTCATGTGCTCAGTCTTTTACAAGGTGCTGGAAGGAGGAGGGCAAAGCACCGGGATAGGACACAGACCCTGTCCTGAAGGGGATTAATGCTAACCCTTGGCTATCACTGATGATGCACCAAGCACGGGAACGTCCATAGATGACACGCACTTCCCTTACATCCACACACAACCCCATTGCACCCAACCCCACTCCTAAACCTACAGAATCCAGAGGAAGGGTTCCTGAGATGGGGCTGGAGATGTAGGCTCTGGCCCAGGCACTGACTCACTGTGAGACCTGGGGTAGATCTTGCATCTCTGGCATCCATCTTCATCCATGAACCAGGAGAGCAGCAATGGTCATGGCTGCCGTGGTGCCTTCCAGTGCTGCCTCTAGGACATCCTTTATTTCCGATCTCCCAAGGCCTCAGGCTGCTGTTTCCTACAGGGTCCTGGCTCCCCCTGGGGGAGCCGCCTCCATCCTTTCCACAGCTCTTGCTCAGCAGGTCTTCTCACCTTTTCCCTTTCCAGCATAACTTATTTGCAGAAATAAGTTATAGGTTATTTGTCTTTTGCATCTACACCAATTACCACCTTCTGTCTGGCCAGCCTTTCTAGCCACTCTAGGCTTCGGGGCCCACCCCTTCCTGAGAGCCCCAGGGCCCTGCCAGCACCTCCATCTATGTGGACCTGCCCCAGAACATCTCAGTTTTTGAGCCTGGTTGGCAGAGTGGTGTTGAGTAAGAAGCAGCCCACAAGGCCTGGGCCCTCCGTGGGGGTGTTTAGGGTCAGTCCCCTTTTCTCTTCCTTCTGAACCTCTAGCTCAGAGCCACACACAGTCATGCCATCACTGGTAGAGCTGCTGAAATCTCACCCTCTGCCAGCTGGTAGTCCACGAGCTTCTCCCAGCCGGCAGCCCACTCAGTCCAAGGCCAAACCAATGCAAACACTCTCCAGAGAGCCTACTGCTACTGCTACCTGCCAAAGCCTCAGGGGTATTAAGAAAAATTATCCACAACTTCAAAATAAGGCAAAAAGATGACCGTGAGTCCTTTCAAAGAAATCCTGGAACAGTAGTTTCCAAGTGTGGTGCCCAGACCAGCAGCATCAACATCAACTGAGAACTTGCTAGAAATTCAGAATCTCAGGCCCCACCTCAGACCCACTGAATCAGAAACTCTTGGGGTGGGGCCCAGCCATCTGTGTTTTCATGAGCCCTCTGGGTGATGCTGGTGCACCCTAAGGTCTGAGAACCAGTGCTCTAGAGCTGCACTATCCGACACGGTGGCCACCAGCCCTGTGTGGCATTGAGCACCTGAAATCTGGTTATTCTGAACTGAGACGTGCTGGAAGTGTAAAATACACATCGGATTTCAAAGACTTAGTTAGAAAAAAAAGAATGTAAAAATATCTCATTAATAATTTTTTGTATTTATTACATGCTGAAATGATAATATTTTGGATATATTGGGTTAAATAAAATATATTGTCACAATTTTACCAGTTTCTTTTTGTTTTTTAAAATGTAGCTACTACAAAATTTAAAATTACATATGTGTCTTGCATTATATTTATATTGACAACGGTGCTCTAGAGTGTTAACAAAGCCACCTACAAGTTATCTGAGTCTCTAGGAGAAAGTAACTTTGACTTGTATTTGCTATTGATTGGGGCCCAGACTCGGTAAAGTTAGGTGTTAATTTTTGGGGGGGAGAAGTAAATAATTTCTGTTTGGTAGAGGAATTAGCCCTAAAGGTTACCATTTTATTGTAACATTAACTAGCTTTGTATCTAGTTATGATTGTAACTTGGCAATCATATTCAGGTATTTTTCACATACCCCATTTCCTCTCCTTCCCTCCCTCTCCCCTCCTCACCTCTCTCTCTCTCTCTAATATATATGTCAGTTTCTCTTAGCCTTCTTTGACGCAGCTATGTCATCCTGCTGGTTCTCTCATTAATAAGTTATAGAAAACTTCAACACATGCTCAGTAACAATTTGTATGAGAATTATGTTTCTAACATTTTGAAGATTATGCTTTAACAAGGGTGACTGGCATCCACCTGCCTCCAAGCCTAGTGTCAGAAGCTGCGTCACAGGGCCTGGAGTTGTGGGACTTCCATTCTGGTCTAGGAGAACCGGAAGTAGTGCCCAAACTCTCCCCTGTCCCAACAGTGCCTGGCTACCCTCAGCCTTGGGGCAGGGCTCTGGGCCTCTCTTTCCCCATCACTGGGAGACAGACACAGTATCCATACTCCTAGAGGCTGGAGGGCTGGGGTTGGGGGAATAACGTGAGGAAAGCCCAGGAGACTTCTCCATAGGCTGGCACCCGTGGGGTGACACTCTGTTCCACCCTGAGGGGTAGAGGAGAACCCAGAGCAGTTGGGGAAGGATGAGAGTGGAGTCAGGGAGGAGGAAGGAGG